ATAAAGAATACACTTTTTTGCAAGTTCTAAGAATTTACCAGTAAAAAAGTCACAAGCTTGATCTATATTACCATTTTTATATCTGACCAATCAGTATTGCGGATAAGATTATTTAATTTTGAAAAATCAGCGATTTTGTAGTTCCAAACACGTCTTTTGAATAGATTATTTGAATCAAAATAGATTTTTTAGAAAATTTTATGTTCCAAAATGGTCACTTACTTCTTTTGGTGTTATAAATATACCTTAATCAAAAACGAAAATATTATTTGTAACTGCGATATGATCAAGTAATGTTTGTGAACTAGATGTTATTCGAGTTGGGGCATGTATAATTAGTATATTTATAATCTTTATAAAATTTATAAAGATTTATAATAATTAGTCATATTATTAAGTCATAGAATGTCACGGAATTTATGGTTGGAAGAATTTAGTTGGTCTTCATTTATATCACCTACGAAAATTATATTTTCTTTTTGTTCAGAAGCTATTTCCTAACATATATTTAATTTGTCCCAAAAAGCGAAGGTGTAGTATGGCGGTATATAAATTGTACATAGTAGATATTATTTTTTAATCATTTTCCTCTATCCAATCTGATTCAGGAAGTACCTTTTCGAAAGTAAAACGTCGTTTAGGACTTAGAAATGATGATACGTAAACTTAAATTCCGCCACAGTAACTGAATATATCCTTTCTAAACATAAAATCAAAACCTGTTAATTTCAAATTACTATCTTGTACATGTACGTCAAGTTTGGACCCCGTAAAACACAGAATATCCATATCTAAATAATTGTCATTTATGAAATCAAATTTGTTTCTAATGCTATATTTATCATAGTATGAAAGATACTTGTGAATAGAAAAAAGACTATGATGAATTGAAGGTTAATAGCGGATCTTGCTGCTATTTTTACAAATTTGAATAATTTCTTACACAAACTTCAACAAATAGATGTTAATATTTTTGCAAAAATACGTGCTAAGTTTTTATTTAGATTTGTATTCATGTGAGTCAACTGTGTAAGAATGTTTAATGACCCCACGGATGCCCGCCACGACATTAGATCATTACCCATGGGGATATGAATAAATAGCAAATATAAACATGGCTGACGAAAAATGATCATTTGATAAATGCATAAGGGGACTGAAGGCGACGGCAAACTAACAAAAAAGACAGACAAAAATATAAAAAAGAAATTTATACTTAATATAACATATTTTGAAAGACGTTTGGAAAGAGTGCAGGGTAAAATGACAATGATCATAATGGAGACAAGGTTATGATAATTCATATCATTTAAATCATTCCATAAAAATACTAATAACGTTACATTTTGAAAATTAAGATCCGTTAAAGAGCGTGGCAAAGTAAAAATAAACATTCACCATCAGTCAGACATTAGCAACAAATTCACCATCAATAAAATATTTACAACAAATATAAGCATTCACCAGCAATCAAACATTTATAACAAATATAAACTCTATCGGCAATCAAAAATTCGCAAAAATATAAACATCCACAATCAATCCAACATTAACAACAAATATAAACATCCACCAGCAATCAAAAGTTTACAACAAATATAAACATCCACCAGCAATCAAATATTTACAATAAACATAAACATCCACTAGCAATCAAATATTTACTTTACAACAAATATAAACATCAACCAACAATCAAAAATTTACAACAGATATAAACATCCACCAGCAATCAAATATTTACAATAAACATAAACATCCACCAGGAATCAAATATTTACTTTACAACAAATATAAACATCCACCAACAATCAAAAATTTACAACAAATAAAAACATCTGCCAGCGATCAAATATTTACAACAAATAAAAACATCTACCAGCAATCAAAAATTTACAACAAATATGATCATTCACAATCAATCAAACATTTCCAACCAATATAAACATCCACCAGCAATAAAAAAAATTACAACAAATGTAAAAATTCACATTCATCTTCAGCATCAACATTTTTACGTGTGTGCAACAGTGATTCGGTTTACCATATAATCTCATTACTTTTGATATTATGATTTGAGTTTGTATTTTTTCTATAGAAAATGAAATAACAGATCAATTCTTGATTAAAATAATAAGTAGATATTTAACTCATAATGTTATTCGTATTTCTAACAAAAATGTTTATCTCCTTTAGATGTTTTTAGAGGAAATTACAGGCACACAGAAAGTAGCAAAAAACCTATTTTTCCTTCTTATTATTCATATGCAGACGACCACAAACAAAAAGCGGAATTCTCGTGCCACGCGATTTATGTCACATGCGGTTTAGAAACATTTTGAGTTAAACTATTTATAAAGTGCATATAAATTATACATGTGAAGTGCTCATCTAAATAACAATAGTATTTTAATATTCATGTACCTAAATAAATCGGATTAATAGATCGAATTCATGTTTGACAATAATACAGTCTGGATAGATATGAAATGTACAGGTTAGTTTACACAGTTTATTTTTTAGAACAACGTTGCCAATAATAGAGTGGGGACCGAAAACCGCTTGTATTTAAATATTCAATTTATAATTGAGGTAAACATAATGTAAATAAACAAACACTGCTCCAGTTAGCACAATACAGTAGTTAATTTATGGATATGCTGGAGCATGGTAAGTTGGTTCATTACCGTCTCGTATTTCCTCGATGGCTTCAATGGACTTTATTGTTACTTTTTTCAGTACTGTTTATAAGCATAGTCCCATAGATGTTACCTCCTGCTACCCATGTATGTTGAAGTTAATTTTCAGGTTTCAATTTTCTGGATTCGTACGCAAGTTGCTCACCTTTTTTTTTTGTTAGTGATACCGGTATGACAATTCCGTCAGGTGCTGACTTACGTTTATTTTATACACGCTGGTGTCATGTAGAATTGATAAATTTCACTATTATACGTTTGTTCCTTGACAACTCTTTATCAAATCTACCTATCCTATTACTTTTGATATTATGATTTGAGTTTGTATTTTTTCTATAGAAAATGAAATAACAAATCAATTCTTGATTAAAATAATAAGTAGATATTTAACTCATAATGTTATTCGTATTTCTAACAAAAATGTTTATCTCCTTTAGATGTTTTTTTTCTTTATCAATATCTCCAGTGGATAGAGGTATGTCTATTGGAGTGTTGGCAAATTTCACAATTTTATCCTCAACATCTTCTTGAGGGTTTTCTGTATCTCCAGGTATGTTAAAAATATCCAGCATTATCCGCCGACCATATTGTTCTATGTCATCGTTGTTGTGGTAAAGTTTTGTAGATGTTATACCTCCTGATTTAGTTCTGTAAACTCATTTTTCAATATCTCCGTTTTAGCATTCACAATATGATCTTTTTCTGTTTTATGTTCAAATTTTAGTTCATAAATAAGATCTACCTTCAGTTCATCTAGCATTCTAGCCACAACTTCCTAACCTTCCTCCTTAGAAAACATTATGTTGGGTGAGAGATATGTTGTGTTTGGAGTGTCTGAACTATCCGAAACAGCACTGTATCTGTATCTGATTGGTCAACAGCTTTGTGGCGTTTCAGAAATATAATTATTTTATCCCGAAATAGTTTCTTCTTATATCATCTTAGATGTTTGAAATAATGTGTAAAATAAAACAATATAGCGATATAAAATGTCATTGATATAGTATAAGCCTGCAAAAATGATGATGACTGCACCTTTAAGTGTGGGCAAAAATGTTTTGGAGATGACTGCAATCCAAAATCCGAAGAATGTACTAAAGGTTGTAAACCGGAATGGGTTATTAAGTTCTGCAGCCGCAGTTTGTTTTATCTATCTTAGTCTATGGTATTTTCATTGGCATTTTAAGAATGTTGAAAACATTTGCATACATGGACTAGTAACATTCGGATATAAACATGACATCAAGATACATATACTTTTGGCGGATATTCCCCTTTATAGTTATTAAAGTGTCCTTTAACATTGTAATTATCAATTAATTAATATGTGACGGATATTAGTAAATGCAATATACAAAGGCTAAATATCGCTACTAAAAGTTCAAAATAGCGTATTATTTTATAGAAGTAAAAATATGCAATAATATTGACGCAACCAAAATGCTCGAAGTAAATGCAATCAAAGTGTGTTTTGAATAAAATATATTTGTGTATTGCAACTTTATATAAACATGCAAATTGAACCATTTATACAGTGTTGACAGAAACATTTTAAGTCTTGGTTGATGAACTTCATAACTTTAAAATTTGAATAGATTAGTGGAAACCAACAAGAAAAGTAATTTGTCAAATCTCATAATATGTACATTCAAACAAGTTTATATATTCAATGACGTCATCATATCAAAAGCTAAGACAATGAAATATCTCATCTGAGTGAGTCATAAAACTTCAAAATAACATAAATATTCATATCTAATATCTCTAAAGAACGCCCAAAACGGGACCCTAATGATATGTTGATTTCAATTGTGCCGTTTTGGATGTTATTTTGTTAATCAAGTACAAATTATTGCTTGCAGACTTAAAGTTAATGGGTAACTTATAAATATGGTACTAGTAATATGTCTGGCAAATCTTAAATTACATCATTTACAAAATATGTCTTCGAAAAGACTGCATTCAAGAGAAGTTTAATAATACGGTCATTTATTACCATTATCAGTGGCATAATTAATTGCCTCAAGTGTTTTATCATAAAAGTAAACTTTAAGAATGTTTGTCAAAATTATTGTACAACCGGTAATGGCTGTTATGTTCAGTACTGTTTAAAACCTTGCAATTGATATTGTTAATAGCATAATAACAATTATTACGTAATGTCTCCATGCAAAACATGCAGCAAGTATTATCATGATAGATGCAGTACTAATTTAATGAAAGAACCAGTTTTCATATTATAAACTATCGTATACTAAATGTACTTTTGCGAACATAATCATAAGAAATAAAATCATATTTAAGATATAGTTTGCGGTGATGGTTATTATGGTCAGGACTGTTCTAAGAAGTGTAGTGACCATTGTAAACTTGGGAATAAATCATGCGAAAGCGTCAACGGACACTGTAAAAAGGGTTGCGAAAATGGATGGTTGAAACCTTTGTGTACGCAAGGTAATATTTCGTTTTTATTATCTTCAAATTTCATTTATTTTAAGTTCGGAGGTAATTGTTGTGATCTAAGCATGGTAGCCATAAACAAAAAAACTATTGATCATATTGAATATGAGATTTGTTTTTATTGGTTTAAAGGCACGTTATGCTTCAGAATATTTGTTTTTCTTCAAAAAGGCAAACATGTGTTTTATAGCGAGTAAATAATGGTTTTAGAATACGTAAGATGCTTATCACCTGAAGAAAGTGAATATTAAATTATTTGTTATAAAACAGAGAAATAAAAACAAAGTAGTATTTTAATTTCCATACAAACTAATTAATCACTACAAGATTTAGTGTTCTAATTGCATAAAATCAACAGCATCAAAAGAGGGTTCAGGTAGTTAGCCAATAAGTTACTGTTTGGAAACTTTAAAAAAGACTTTAGTAAATAAAAATATAAGCATATATGAAGCATAAGAGGCCTTTAAAGATGAAATAACAAGAATGTTTTTTTTTTTTTTTTATATACTTGATTTTTCTTTCTTTCGTTCTTATTTCTTAATTATTATTATAATTGCTCTTAATTTATTAATGTTCATAGTAGAAGAAAATCCACTAAGGTCCAAAAGCTTAAACACATAAAAAATTTAATATCTTACAAAGATAAGCGGGGACACTTAGAAAAGTAAGGTATGCAAAATATAGTAAAGGGCTATAATCAGAAATACGTTGAGTGAAAAACGTTGCAACATATTAAAGTTTGGGTAATTTTTCTTAGTAAGAATATTATTCAGGAAAAAAACGGAGTAACCAAATGTTTTGAAATTTAGCACACAAGTTGTTGGTCTTGACCTTTTTCAAATGAAACAAGCATTAAGAAACATTATTTCTAGTCCTGTCATGTCAAAAAAGGTAGTTGAGTGACTTTAACAATTAAATTAGGACCTGTCAAAACTGTTCGCAAAAATGCAGAAAAATAAATTAGTAAAAATAAATATACAGACTGTAACAAAGTCAATGAAATTTGCTCTCATGGGTTCGGATAAGACGGAAAGGATCTTTATGTCATTATGTAACTAAGCTCATACTCTGACACAAAACCACAAAAAACGTCACATTAAGTCGTTTATATAATATGGCCGTTTTCATGATGTATTTGTATATATTCATGTATGTATACTACTTATGTTACCTGCTTTTGTGGGATTTGTGCATTTTGTAAATAAATTGTCGAAAATTGTTCAGCGGCTGTATATGATAATGAACTTTGGGCCCAAGCCGCAAGCATATAATTAGTCAGTGACACTTACAATCATTTGAAACTATGGTTACATTTGTTACTAGTTATGGTAACAAGTGAAAAGACGCGCATAATGTTTGCGTTTCATTTTTAAGCGCGTTAATGAATAAATGATTTTCTCTTGCTTGTTTAATGTATGTGGTAAACAGAGATTATTTTATTCGTTTAGCTTCATTACGGAATTTATTGAAATTGCCAAAAAACATATGCTTGCTAGAGGCTCGAATAATATAAATTTTATTTAACTTGAATTGAATCTACACTCATTCAATATCCTCTTTTATCACGGTCAAACATTTGGTCAAAATGGATTTACTTGACTAATTTGAAATACAAAAACCTCAACTTATAAAAAATGAAAATAAATCTTGTTATTCATTATTCTAAAGTTAAATGATTTTTCTCTGAAGGAATATAGATATTAATTATGTATTTAATCATATTCATTTGTCATTTAAGAAATATCTTAAAGGTTTCTTTTAATCTTATTCAATTTGCATTCAACTAAGACTTACGTAAACTCGAATCAAGGACAAATCATATTTTCTAAAAGAAATGAAAACAAATGTTGGTAATCGTTACTTCTTTAAATTCAAATCGCTTTGACAAAAAGAAAACGTTATTGATGATTTGAATTATAAACTAACTGTATTTCAAAGGTAATTAGTTAATTTTCCCTTTAAACAAAAGTGCAATGAGCATTAAATCATTCACTTTACACCCACTGCTGCTTTCATTAGTTCTCCTTATTTTGTTTATACATGTAGCTGTAGAAATCCATCTATGCAAATATGCAAAATTCGCACTTTTTCTTTAATATCTCTTCATATTTATTTTGGACAAAATGCTTAAAAAGCTTGACCTATATTATTGTTTACATTTAATATGCTTTTATCTGATAACATTTTTTTTATCGAAAAAAAAACGTAATTTGTACAGCAAACCATACTATAAAATATATTATTTTTGTATAAAAAAGGCGGCCATATTGGACGCCATCCTAAATTCTGAAAAAGTATTCTGCCAAATTTTTAAAAACATTTAAGTTTTGTTAAGGAAAGACTTTATAGATTATTTAGTGTTATTTTCAGGTCTGTCCCAAAATATGACTGAAAGAACTATCATGTACGTCACATTCATATGTTGGCCATTTTGAAAATGTATTTTTTGGCCCACTTCTGTAGCTCCTTAAGATTCATGCTTGTATCACCATTTGCATTATTTTTTTATTTTGAATTGATTAGAGCACATTTCAACCTTCTTTAAACTAAATCGATTATGTTTTGTTTAGGTATTACTGTATTGTTATTAAATAGAATACAATGTACAAAACTTGAAGAAATGAACGATTGATGATCATCATTGTAACCTTCTACGTCTCAGTCTTTTCAAGACTTTCTCACATTAATTGTTGAACTAGATTGGCTATGTTTTGTCTAGATATCAATGTATTCTTACTTATTTAAACACTTTATATACAACGGAAATATGTACAAATCTTATTAATAAATAGAACTTAAAGCCTGAAAAATTACGAATGAAATACCCATTCTCCGCTTTGCAGAGAAATGATCAGTATTTATGATATAAAGGTACGTTTGTAAAACATATATGCCCCCTATCGGCAGGCAATTAGTCATGTGAATATTGTGACAGACTTTTGACCTAGTGAAGAAAAAACCAACAGGGGTTATCAACTGGTCATAACAAGTCACTAGGTAATTGTGACCGTAAAGTTTGTGTGCAGCAAGTTTAATTACAAAGTTATCACAAATCTTAAGTACCAAATTATATATGCATAACTTTTATGAATCATATAGGCCTTTTTAATGACAGCCAATGTGTTATATTATATATGACCTTGAAATGTGTATACTGAAAGCATTTTTAGTTTAATGAAACATATCAACCAAGGCAACTTGAGTTGTTGAGTTATTGGTCGAAACCGTTTTTACGTACAAGGTCAATGCGTTTTTGACTTTTGACCCCTAAATCAATAGGGGTTGTCTACTGACCAAGACCAGTGCACCTGTGAAATTTGAAGATAAAGCGCCCATGAGTTGTTAAGATATCGATTAGAAAGCGGTTTTACCTTTGAGGTCAATGTGATCTTGACCTCTTACCCCTTGACCCGTACAATCTATTGCGGTCATTTACTGGCCAAGACAAATGCACCTATGCAGTTTGAGGGTCACAGGCCCATGGGTTGTCATGTTTTTCATTGGAAACCGTTATTACCTTTAAAGAATATATGACCTTGACCTTTGATCCCTTGAGCAAAAAATCAAAGGGGGTCATTTACTTGACAAGGCCAATCTACCTGCGAAGTTTGAGGGCCAGAGGCCCATGGTTTGTCAAGTTATTAATCGGAAACTGTTTTTACTTACAAGGCCAATGTGACCTTGATCTTTGACCCTAGACCCAAAATTAATAGGGGTAATCTACTGGCCATGCAGTTTGAGGGCCTATGGGTTGTCAAGTTATTGATCGGAAACCGTTTTGACCTACATGGTCAAACTTTGATCTTGATCCCTTGACCTAAAATTCAATAGGGTCATCAAATTGCCATACCGATGCACCTACGAAGTTTAATGGACAAGGACCCATGGGTTATCATGTTATTGATTGGGAACTGTTTTTACCTTCAAACTCAATATGACCTTGACCTTTGACCCCTTAACATCAAAACCGATAGGGGTCATTTCCTTACCAAGACCAATTCACCTACGAAGTTTGAAGATCAAAGACTCATGGCTTTTCAAGTTATTGATCGGAACTGTTTTACCTTCGACCCTTTGACCCTAAAATTTATAAGGATCACTCACTAGTAATGAACTTTCCTTATACCAATTTTGAAGTTCCTATGCCTAAGTGTTCGAAAACCATTTGATGTACAGACCGACAAATGCAAAGTAATATACCCTCATTTCTTTGAAGGGTGCATAAATACTGCATTAAATATATCGACCAGATATCACTTTAAAATATCAAATATGATAAACAAGATCAACAAGGAAAGGCGGCGTTCAATGAACGCAACCCCCATATGACCAAGCAACAAGAACCCAATGGCAAGGAGCCCAGGCGGAGGTTTGTTTGAAATACTTGTTTTTTAAGTTATCACACGCACTTGGTTGTTAGTGTTAAACTTGCAAACTCCACCTCCGCAATCGATATATTACATTCAATCTAGTTCATAGAAGTTACGTGAGGTATTGTTAAAATCATTATTATCAAAAAACGAATCAGACTCTTAATCATTCTAAATAACAGGGTCATCCGGCAACGACGAAAGATGTTAAAAAAATAGTCATAATCAAAGTCAATGTTCGGTCAAATGCAAGTGAGTGAAAGTCATTCATACAACGCAGCCGAGTCTTACATGATTTTAAATAAGACACATGCATTCCTTCGGAATGGCACGATTTATTTTTCAAGTTGTCAATAGAAATACAATACAATTCACTAGCTTTACATTTAGGGACCCATTTTAAATTTCTTGCTTTGTTGCAAAACATTTTTATTTACATTTTTTTCAAATGGAACGACAATGTTTTCTTTTCTCCGTATACAAAAAATGACTGTGCAGCTGTCTGATTTCATATAATGAAGGTAGTTTACCGAGATTTATGTCGCGAACCAGACTAAAATGTAATCATGCGTTAATCACGGTTGTCTCCATCTAAAGGGGAACTATTTTACATCAGACAAAATGCAACGGTGTAAGAATTGTTACATTGCATCTGAAGTTTTTCAGGTACATTGAGAATTTATAAAACAAGTTCGTTTTAAAGAAATTTAATATCTTCTTTTTTTAAATTTTTGAAATTATGCTGGGCAGACATAACGATGTCACACGTGTACTTATGTTGGATAGATTTGGTAACGTGTCTTATGCCCTAAGTGCCTCATCAACTATGTGTTTGTTCAAATTTAAAATTTATTGTTGATTCTTTGTTTATTAAAAGTAGACATATCGTTTAATCGGGATATAATTTAGTAGTGTCCGAGGCATTACGATAAACCATTATAAGCGTGTCAAACACTATCTATAGACAAATGAGACACTTGGTGTCAGATTCCTGGCACAATAATTGTTTAGCCTTCTCTATGACATTGACTTACGCGTATCCGTCTTGTCACTGCATAAAACGATAACTAGGACGGAAGTAATGGAATTTCCCCTTTAATTTCAATTTTCACAACTGCGCAGAACTAGATTTGTTCGGCTCTTCTCAAGTTATGAAGTGCACAGTTGGACATTCCTTCGCAGCCATTTTACGCGTGCGTTAAACCTCTCTTGTTTCAGTTTGCAGCAATGTGAAAATGTCGACATCTTATAAATTATACATAGGAGAGTTTTCTTGCCATATTTGCATGCCAGAAACAAAACTGTCACTGGAAGAACGAATAATCCAATTTTAGCTATATCACACTATCATTATATTTTCTCATGATAAAAGATCCTGTAACACAATTTATTAAGGTTTTATATCATTATTATAATGGTCAAATGAAGATTTATCAATATTGTAAGTTCCTAAAAGCATTTATTTGTAACAATATTACCAAATTAACATTTTCATTTTAATACAGGGAAGTAATTAACAATGTAATTTCTTAAAAGTTTAAGTCATTTTTTTCAATAAGAAATAAATGCATACATTTTAATGGTTATATATAATGTGAACAAATATTTGCAGAATGAATTTTACATATTCTTTGATGTTTGAAAATTGATTTAGAAGCATAACTATATACATATATAAAATGTCACTTAAGTGTGGTTACAACCATAATTACAGCATACATGATCTCTAAAACACCATTACTTTTCATATTTCTAATACAGAGTGCAACACCCCGTTCCATCGTCTGAACTGCATGTTCTGGTACAATCAATGTCAATTATTGGTAAAGCTATCATTCAAGGTTTTATAAAAGATGTTTTGTGCAAATAAATAGTTAATAAAATTGGTATATTCAAGTTTTTATTTTTGTTAAACCGTGCATGTTCCAAGTTCAGCCTCCGCGCAAGACTATTGGTGGCGATCACGCACTGCACCGCGTTCCGATGATGTTCTATCCAAAGCAATTATGATTAACGTTACTCAATTATTTGTTATACATATTTGCTATCTTAATTATCTCGTATAGAAACGAAATGAAAATAGTAAATTCAACAACTTAATTCGAGACTTAGAAAATGCCAAAATATGAAAAGGCTGAAAGATAAAAAACGAAAATACAAGTTATTTAATGGTCCGTTGTATATGTGTCCGGTTTATTCTTGATATCAGGTTACTAGCCTGATATCAAAATGTATTTATCATGCAACAGTTTACGGGCGTTTGTCATGGCAGTTGCAGGATAAAATAGATATTGGCAATGTCTGATAAATTGTTAATGACGAAAACATTTTGATAATTTATAGAATGTCCACCTGGGAAGTATGGAGCAGAATGTAAGAAGAATTGTTCCTCAGCTTGTAACCAGGGTGATTGTAATAATGTCGATGGCAAATGCCTTTACGGATGCGAGTCTGGTTACCAAGGAAAGAGGTGTAAAAACGGTAAGTCTGTTTTATGAAGGTAGAATGATAGCATAAAATATGTATACTAGTATACTCTCCTTAATGTACACAATATTAGTAGATGTACGATGTCAATAAAATATTTTCGTTTAAATATATTGTTCTGATATTGTTTACTTATTAACTATTATTCCTTTGATTCAATAACTGACCGTTTTCATTTAATATACGAAATTCTATAATGTACATTTAATGCATATTAGGACAACTCATTATGTTTTATCAGAACCGAATTTATGTGAGGATTATCTAGTCTTTTGATCGCGATCGCTTAAGGTCTTATGAAATACGCATTAGCACAACATGTTACATTAATATTTTGCACAAATTAATGCCTTGTAGACTTCTACCAAGATTGTTCAAATATATCCCTGGACTCAAATTTGGATCCGCCCAGGATTAATCCGTTTTCCTTATATGTTTTATAGTTAAAGAATAAAAAATAACCCGCCCAGGATTGATGCATTTTCCTTATATGTTTTATAGTTAAAAATTTAAAAAATCTTTAAAATTATAAAGCGTGAGCTTAGATATTTAGCATGAAACATTGTCAAGTAAGCCCCTATTAGGATTCTTCAAATTATAGCTCATGGTTATTCTTCAATCATAACTAAAAATGAAAGGGAAACAATTTATAGTGAGATTTTACTACGAATCTTCAAATTATAGCATTTGGGTCAAAATTGCCCCTACTACAGGTCATGGCTATTCTTCAATCATAATAAATAATGAAAGGGAAACAATTCATAGGGAGCCCCTATTAAGATTCTTCAAATTATAGCTTTGGGGTCAAAATTGCCCCTTCCACAGGTACATGTAATAGTTATTCTTCAAATCATAGATAAAGAAATCATATTTGAATGTTTACCATACATTTGTACATGTTATGCAAATTTTCTAAAAAAATATTCAGTAGGAGGTAGTTAGTGTAAAGGTCATGGCCTCTAGCAATACAGATGTTTGCTTTGCAGGGATATTAATAAAATGATTTGAGAACATAATGATTCAGACAATGTATGATTTCCAGACGTAAAGGTTTTATATGTTTTCAGAAAAAGGTAATTGAAAAGATTGTATATAAGAAAAGTAGCTTTAACTATATTTCAAAGTTTAATCATGTTAATATAGCTATGTAATATAGTGATACCTAAATATTGATGTAAGAATAGTTTTGTTTTGAATCAATTATTATACTATGGACTTTGTATCTGAACATTAGACACATCTCCAAATTGTCTTTCATTTTACATGCTGAAATATGACTTTACCACCAAATAAATTATATACTAAAGCATTATGGCAAAGTTCAATTGTATTAGGAATAATCTACTTTTGTACCTACTATTTAGTGTTGAAATAATGCTGGTATAGCATTTTTTCAAATGCAATCTTGTTAAATATAATTATATCACAGCCAAGTTTTAAAAAATACCGAAAAGTGAACAGATGAAAAGTCGATTTGCGTCTCATTAAGAAGCCGATTTGATAAGCCATCTACAAGGTATTTATGATTATCTAATATAACATGTACTTTTTACCTGACGAATACGATGTGATATAAACTGAAAAATAAGTATATAATTGCCAGGTAAAAAGTACAGATTTGTACAGTATGTTGTGAACTCAAGTGTCCTTCAAATTGCAATCAGAGCTATAAGTGGTACGGCTCGATCATTTTATACCATAGAGATAATTCCAAAAGTACACGATTTAACAAAAACATAAGACTTGTTTCACTTTTTTACAGAATATCATGAGCAGTCGTGTGCAAAATTTTATGGTATTCTAATTTATATTTTTTAATGCCCTAACATCACGATAAGTGATTGGTACATGGGATTTAAACATGCTTAAGTTCATATAATAGTAACTCTCACACAATTTTCTTTGCATAATAGATGTCGCTAAACGTACGTGTATTTAAGATTATATATATGATTTGTGTATTGCGCAGCATTAAATCAAAGTTGGTATTTTGTTGTTTTTGGGTTCTATTTTCTTTTCCCGCGTAAACCGTCTGACTCCTGAATCTCCTAATTGAGAATATGTTACTAAGGCAGAGTGTATTTTTGAAAATATTTCTACTAATGTACGGTCATTTTTTATCTGCAATAAAACATATCTCAGTTACTGTGTAAATAATATTGTTATTATGTTTATAACAATCGATATGAATTCATCCTAAGCAGGCAGCTCATTTATAAGCACAAAAAGATTGTCAGAATGCTTTTATATGTACGGGTGAATATTATCAGTAACAAAGATCTTTTACACAGCAGTTTATATACGGCCCTATAACCTGTCGAGAATCTTTATGACGAATTCATGATAAAGCAAACTCTATTTATTTAAGTAAAGAAAATAAAATAAATTTATACATTGACAGCAGCTGTGGGTATAGATTATATAAACGTCACGAATATCCAATGAAAAGCAAATTAAAAACGTGCAGTATTAAAATGACATATCTGTCTTTTTCCAAATGGTCAATGAAACTATACGACATGACAATATTCTTGAAATATACTTCACTCTTGTAAACAACGTCAAGATCATACCAGGTATATCAGACTTTGTTATCATCTCCATCTTTTAGGCCTACCTTCCTCAAATAAAAGTCTCGTATTTGAACATTGTATTAAAAAAACCAACTGGACTGACTAACATTTTCATTTAAACCTGAACATCACAAATACTAAAAAACTGTCGTTTTAAAGCCTTTGGATCCAGTTCAAACCACACTTCAGGGTGGGATATCTAATTTCATACCCACTTAAAGAATAACGGCTTAACCAAATTCGCCCTGGAAAACATCTATTAAAACAAAATAATCAATAAAAGAGACTAACTCTATAAAAATATTTTTAAAAACAACTAAAAAAAATTGTCAGGTCATGATAAATGGCTAAAATTAAAAAAGAAATATCTCAAATAAAAGCTGAAATAAAAAAAAATCACATGTAAACATCCAGAATCTTGCTGATGATGATGAACCTAATGCACTAAGTAAATTTGTACCAAATAACTTTACACTCTAATAAAACTTTAAAAATAGCATTCACAGAAGGTGTCTCCAGAAGAAATAAAAACTCATGCCCTCTCAAAATTAATAAGACTGAAAAAAGCATTTTTAACAAACAATTTTAGACAGTTTCTCACCAATTATATCACTCACTTTAAGCGACAAGCATTCAAAATCCATTGAACTAACTGTAACTACCTTGTGAACCACCTTTCCAATGGCAAACAAACAGATCTCATACTTCTTGGCTATTCTAAAGTTTTTGGTGAAGTAAACCATCTCAAACTCTTAAGTACCATGCAAGAACAAAGTGTCTGCCCTCTAATTCTATACAGTCTGGAATACAGTCCTTTCTTATTGCCGTCGACAGACAGTAGTCATGGATAGTGACTTGACAATCTGAAAAGTGTCAGTAACTCTGGATGGATCAATGATCAGTCCCATGACCCCCCCCCTTTCGTTTCCTTCTCCATGTCAACAAGGTATCTTCTTCCGACCTTAAAATCCAATTTTCAGATTTATTTGCAGATAAACGCTGCTTGTGTACTTAACCTTTAGTTCTCATCAGACAACCAACATTCATAACATGATCTAGACAATGTGGTTCTGTTAGATAAGCAGTGGGACATTGAGTGAGAAATTGAGAAACAGAATTCTTGAAAAAAGCCAAACACGACAAAATTAAAATGTTGCAGGCTAGATTTGATTGTATTCTTTATAGTGCAATATAATTTAGATTACAAAAACTAAGCATATAATTAGCACCACTATATGCACCATGGCGAAGTCCTAAAGTTGTTCTCTAATGCTACTAATCTTGAACTAGATCTGTCTGCTTACCTTATATTTAAGACACAAGAGTGTATGGATGGATGGATGGATGGATGGGTCGAATCTGAAATGTTATCTGAATTGTTTTAAACTTGATCAAATGATAATTTTCTCCAAAGTATCTTGTGAACACATCTGCGGATGTTTCTACATTCAAAATTTTACTATTTCATGTTTAAATGTTGAATTCTGCTTAAGCCGGTGCTAGGGGGGCGTGGACGGTAACTTGCCACTTTTTCCAGTAACGTCCATGAACAGGCTCAATCAAACCGAGCCTGCAACATTTTTCAATTTTGCCGTGTTGGGCTTTCTTTAGGGATTCTGTATTTATCTATTTTATGATCACATCCGTGTTATTTGTGCCGTGTGGCGGCTGTTAAAAGTCTCCCCGTACATTTAATCAAATGATGTTATATTTTCGATCCTTGAAGATCGTTCAGCCCGACATTATTGTTGTGATTGTGGTATTTTTAGTTTCAACTTTTCGGCATTTTCTAGTTGGGTGGTTCCAATATTTCCTACTTGAATAATGTTGAATTACCCTTAGGATATGTTGCCTGCTTTTTAAATTTCTCTTTTGACGTCTTATCTGTGATACGCACTTCAAAACCTCCACCCCCTTTCAAAATTTCCCATTTTTTTTAATTTCCGGCCATTTTTTTTTTTTTTTTAAGGGAAACACGTTTTTTTATTATTTGGGGACCAAAAAACGTTGTTTTTCTTTAAAAGGGAAAGGGAAAAGGTCACATTGAATTTCCATGAAAACCCGCCTTAATGAGCACTTTCTGGGGGAGGGTTTCTACTTTTAAAAATTTTACTTTTTCATTTTTAAATTTGTTGAATTATGTTTAAAAGCCGGTCAAAGGGGGCGGGGACGTAACTTGCATTTTCCCCATACCGTTCCTTTTTAACCCGGGCTCAAAAAAAACCCAGCCGGTAACATTTTTAATTTTCCCCGTTTTGGGCTTTTTTTTTAGGGTTTCTTATTTATCTTATTTTTTGTATTTACCGTTAACATGCAAATGAAAAAATGCATCACTAAAGCCTACTATCCTTGTAAATAATTCCTAAACATCCACTTTCAAATTGTTGCTAAATTGCTGATATACACCGCTCACATCAATTATAATTCTTAATTACAGTATGTATATTATAGTCAATGTACTTTCCCTTTTAAAGATTCTTTGCAGAGGTGCTGTTTAGTTTTTTTACAAAGATAAATAATTGTCAATTTATGGGATCGATTTTCACCTTTTCAATTAAGATTTGTTTCACAAGCTACAAATTCTAAGTCCAATCAAGTCCATACAGTTTCTTTTTCATATGATATAAGCTGAGTTGCATACAACCTTTACAGTACTTAATAAGTGTGCATTTGATAACTTGGTATTGACCCATTTAGTATTTATAACCTTAATAGAAAATCTGTCAAAACAATTAAAATACACATATTTGAAAAATCTTAATGTGAAGGATAAACAGAAGACCTTACATGACATGAACAATGAGCAGAATTTAAATTAAAGGAAAAAGAAAAATATATATATAAGTAATCTTAATTGCCCTTTCTTAATCCATTAAAATCAGGAAACGTTAATTATTGTCATTTTGAATTGCCCAGGCTTCTACAAATAGTCACTTGGATTAATCGTAAATGTCTGAAATGTATTAAAACACTATTTGTGAATCTCAGCCTGCGAAGCTGGTTCTTCGAGAAAAGATGTGAATTTACGTGTAGTCAACATTGTGCAGGTGGAATCACAAAGTGTAATCATACTTAGTCTAATGGACATTGTAAAAATGGATGTAAACCAGGTTGGATTGAACCACGTTGTATCAAATGTAAATTCCATTGATAATTAAAATTAACATAATGTTAAAGATTTTTTCATTTCTAAGCATTTTGTTTGATTTTTATAGAATACTTTTCCTGCATTATTTCTATATCAGCGATGAGAGACAAATGACCACTATACTCAATGTCCTAGACCAAATGTCACGAAGAAATAACGCATTGCCTGATGATCAAACGAGAACTCCCTACATTACTGACCCGATGCTTTCCTTGTTGAGCTAAACAGGCAGATATGTCAGCATTCAAATATTTTATTTTGTTACGATCATTTTATATTGTGTTGGATGAAATATGAAGTATTTGTAAAAAAATTTGATAGTTTGCAACTAACTTACAAGTTAGAGTTTCAAACAATTTCATGAAATTGTTTACAGATATCTTAAAACATTTTAACTTGTAATTAAATAAATAACACACCATTTTCTACATCTGTATGTGAAAACAAACAGACCCCCTCCGGAATAAAAAAAATATAGAAGAATGTAGATATAACTTATATTCGAACTACTTAAATCTATATGAAAAGTCCGGTTTTTTAAGCAAAGTTCTCATTTTAATTCTCATGAGATGCATTTGAGTTATATGTTTAATTGAAATAAGCTGGCGTAGGATATACGATAAAAAGCGACTATTCGAAATTTCCCCGTAACAATACATATATTGAGATATCTGCGGTCAGGTCATGAACATTAATATTTAAAATATCAAATTAGTTAATTAAATAACAAAATTTAAATTTTTTATGTTTAAAGAAGGGTTACTTATTTATGAATAAAAAATCATACTTTATAAATTCAACAGTGAAAAATTATCAAGAAAATTATTTCACACTTTCCAAATGAAAGAGACTTTTTTCTTAAACTGTTAAAGTTCCCCTTTATCTTTCCATATATTTTAATTTTCACTAACAAATATACTGTTTTAAATTTAAACATAGTTAAAGAAACTGTTTGTAGCAAACGGAGCTGAAAATTAATTGATTTCACTTGTGAATTAAAATCATTGAAAATAGATAAAATATACCTACATAATTTCATTAATTTAAACTGGATCACCAATTTTGGTAATTTGATAAACAGAACTATAATTGTCACTTCATATATCCACATGCAAAACTTCTGTTAGAAACCATTTGGGGCATATTAATATATATTCCACGACAGCCAATTTAATACTGGTTGGTAAGACCACGACAATTCATCTGCCAAAGAAATTTTTAAAATACCCAGCTTTCTTTAGAAACATCTTTTAAAAAAAAACTAAAAAGGAATTTATCTTAAAGTCAGGTTTGGCTGGTAACAAACAAAGACCTATTTCTTCAAAGGTGTGAAACGTTTAAAATTGGAATTATTATTATAACTTTTGGTGAGATTTTGTTCTGTACTGTTAATTATAACTTTTATTATATATTATGCTGCTTTTGCAAACATTTGACAAACAAATACAATCTCATTTATTTATACAGCTTGTGATCGTGGTTATTTTGGTCAGAACTGTTTTAAGAAGTGCAATGACCATTGCAAATACGGGAATGAACACTGCAACAATGTTGACGGAAACTGCACATATGGATGCATGGATGGATGGAAGGCACCATTGTGTGACCAAGGTAATATTTCGTTTCAATATTTATGAGATTTCTCTTCCAGTGTATATTGTCTAAGTTCAGATGGGTTTGGTTTATTTATGTATACTGGTTTAAAACTGTATTCACTGATATACTAATATATACACGGAAATTAATATCGCAAATTCCGATCAATTAAGATTAATTTTAATCGTTATTTAAATAGTTTTAGATATATTTATAAACTTTTTTTTTTTATTATGACTTTTATAGCACAATGTGTGCAGTGCACGCTTATTTCTTCATCACTTACAAAACCTACACCAAATGCATGTTAGAAACCCAATTATAACATACTCTAGTAAATATTCAGTTTACTTAAAAATCGTTCTGTTCCTTTACTAATTGTAAAGTATGAGAATTGCAAATTTAATGACAACGCCTGATTGACATGCATAAAACATATATATCGAAATTTCTGTGGGGCCGTGGTAAAAAAAAATCGGTCAAAAACTATCGACACTCAGCTGTTCATTTAAAAATACCAGGTAACAGGTAATATAAGGAAGACTATCGAACTCGTCTACATCGTTATTGTTCCTGAAGACCAGACACGGCATAATGTTATAAAGATATAGCTCAGCTTAAGGTTAAAATATATTTCACAGAGTGAACACTAGCTGCAATATTTTCTATAGCGGCGTAGTTTGATTTTACATGCAAAACAAACACAATATCAATTTAATCCATAGTTTTTAGTAGTTTTGTGTCATTAAGTTAATGCATGGAAATGCACCTGAGGTCTTCCTCCAATAAAACCGGAAAGTGGCCACATGCTCTTAACTGTGTTGGTGCGACGTAAAACCTAACAAAATATATATTATTTGACCGAATATTTCTTCGTAACGTCATGTGATTTCCTTTAGGACGCCAACAAAGACGACATCAACAATTTTTCATAGTGAAAAAAAGTCCACGTAATATTTCTTGAATATGTGACTCAAGGCGATTATGCGTTTTCTTCACATTTTTCCATTTATTTATTTCTCGTTGCTTGTCATCCGCATTTAAAAAAATAGTCCGGCTACTGTTGAAAATTATACTTAATAACGTAACTGAAAATTGTTGAAATATAATGTCACTGTCTATTGAAAAAAGCAGGTAATACATTTTATATGTGGTAAAATAATGCAATAGTTATTTCTTGATGAATTAAGCCTGTGATCCCCGATTTTCATGTCCCAATTCTTTCTTTTATTTGTCCCCAACTACTGATACCATACCTTTCGATGAAACACCATAGCTGCCTTCTCCTTTTATTATATTTTTCTTTTTATCTTTGTCTTTTAATAAAGCTTCCCTTATTATTGTGAAATATTACACTTTGTGTTTGCCATAAAACATTTTGTTCAGAACTTGTCTAATCATCATTTGCCCTTAAATTATGTGCTAACATTAGACTTTATCTCTACAAAATTGATTTTGACTTTCTTAACAAATTGTTTTGATTATTTCAAACAGTAAAGTGTTCTAATGTCAAAATTGTTTTACTTGTTCTGAAAATGTTCAAAATTATGTTCAACTTTAGTTCGCCATTTGGAACGAAATTGTTGGAGCCCTGTTTTTGGTTCAAAAAACGTTCCCTGATCATTTTGAAAACAGTAAGTGTTTCTCTTGTCGAAAATTTTGGCGTTGACCTTGTCAAAAGCAAGCTTTTATTTTATCAAACTGCTATGTTATTTTGTTAAGATATGGTGTTTAAATGCCTTAACATTGTCTTATTGTGTCAAATAGAAGTGTTAGTTTGCGAACTTACACTACTGAATTGTCTTGTTATATCAAATATTCGCATTATCTGGCCGAAATGGGTTGTTGACTTGAATAAATAATTCCTTACTATGATAAAATGTTTGCTTTTTTGTCGAAAAACGGTTTTGACTGGTTAAAACTCAGTCTAGTAAAGTCAAAAATTGCAGTATCTTGTCGAAATGTGGTAATGACTTGTCAAAACTATGTCTTATAATGTGAAACAGAAGTACATGTACAATATTGTCAAACTTTGATGATTTCTTGTAAAAAAACAGAAAACAGTCTTATTATGTATATCAATTATTTATTTTGTTCTTTTTTAGTTCTGTCTTGAGAAAGCGCTGTGTGAATTTGTTAAACTGTCTCTTTATTTTTTAATTTTATATTTTCATATTTTTTTATTATTAAGTTGGGAAAAAAAACCGCATTTGGACAGGAAAAAACGCATTTATCCTAAATAATGGGGACTGGAATTTTAACCACATTGACGTTTAAAAAAGTGACAAAGTCAATGCCCATGTAGTTACAGAATATACTGTTTTTAACAAGTAAACACCACATTAGAAAAGGAAAAATGATATTCGCCATTAAAGGACCGCCATGAAAGAACGATGTTTAGTCTAATTAACACCGAACCTTGACAAAATAAACTGTACATAATGAAATAAACATAATGAGGCAAATCTAGACAAGTTAAATCTGCTTTTGGACATAATAGCGTGACAGTTTGACATACTTAAATAGCGTTTAACAGTTCTCAACCATAATCTGTAAAGATACCACTATTATTCACTTAATAAGACGGTGTTTAGGCATGTTAAAATCAGTTTGGACAAAATAGCATGGCGATCTGAGAAAATAAGGCAGTGTTTAAACATGTCAATACCATCTTTCGACGAGTCAATAATACTGTTTGACATAATAAAATAATGTTTACATAAACAAACAAAATTTATTGGCAAGTCAACACTAGTATATCACAGTATTTTTTAGACATGATAACAACAGTTTCAGGCAATAAAGCATAATGTTTTGACACAATAAGAAAGAATAACACCACCTAATACAAAGCAACATAACAGTTTGAGAAAACCAGGACAATACTCACACAAGTCAATTATAACGTTTGAAAATGATATCACTACTAACCGACATGATAAGACATGAGTTTGACAAGCTGACATCAAGTTCCGACAAGATAGCAATACTGTTTACATAATAAGATAATTTCTAGACAATTTACCACCACATTGGAAAACACAACATGCTATTTTGACATGAAAGACATTTTTAGGCAAGATAACGCCGAATTTGATCACAATGACATGGCAGTCTGACAAAATGTAACGGTGTTTAGACAAGTCAATACCACATTTGGACAAGACAAAACGACAGTATAACATAATACAACAGTGTCATAACAAACCAGTATCACATTTGAAGAAGGTGACATCAAGTTCCGACAAGATAACACTTTTCCCAGAATAGGACTATTTCAAGACAATTTAACACCACATTTAAATAAGGCTGTGTTTAGACATGTTGTAAATCTATTTCGAAAAAAATGGCGTGCATGTTAGACATATTCAGACTTCCATTAGGCATGTTAACACCGGATTTGGACATGATAACATAACGTTTTGAAATAATAAGACAGTGTTTAGACAAGTCAGCACTACGTTTCGACAAGAGAACATGTAATACTTCGTTAAGACATTTAAGATTCTAATAAATCGTTGGCAAGCCAACACTACTATTACACATAATAAGACGCTTTTAGGGGAAAATAAAACGAAATGTAATAACATGAGGCAGCTACGGCGTTTCATACCAATCTATACCACAAGCTTGTTGTTATTATCTGTTTGGTTGCTCTAAGGCAATTTTTATGAAACAAGATGTTAAAATTGTTGTAATTGGAATGTGGTATAAATGCAAAGTAAGAATTTCAGGTTGGTTTAATGTTGCTCTCAAAATCTTTATTTTGTGAAGAATTAAATTATACGTACATTATATATACATCATTTAATAAAAAATACACAAACGATAATTTAATCTTAATAATAAAATTCTCCAGAATTATGTTCTGCTTTCCATCAGGCTAAATATTATAACATCTTTTTAAAGTAGGATTTGAAATATATAATACATATTATTTGAAATGTTCATACAAAATAATCAATAGAGGCCTTGATTTTAAGATTGTTAACCTAAAGACTAAAGTTGACAAATGAGATAACTGGTAAATTAATATTGTTTTTGCTCAGAGCAGTTGGCGGTCTTTACTACGAGGTTTTTGATGCAATATTGATAAAGTTATTAATTAATTTCAAAACTATGGTAATCAAAGTACATGTACGTTGATTATTGTTTCATGTTGCAGATATAGATATTATTTACAATAAAAAATTAGGTAAGCTACATTTATAACCATTTCTATGTAATGATAGAGTGCCTAGCTGGAAAATATGGTGAAGGATGTAAGAGAAATTGTTCAGTAAATTGCAAAACTGGTGTTTGCAATCATGTCAACGGCAATTGTAGTGAAGGGTGCAACCCAGGTTATCGAGGACAAAAGTGTGAAGAAAGTAAGCTAGCTTATATATTTCACCACATATTTTTAAGACTGTGTTCTACTATAATAAACATGTTATTGATAGCTTCAACATTCAATTCCATACAATCATATAGCTGTACATTATGAATCCATACAATGTTTTTTAAGCAATTTACTCAGTTGAATAGTTTGCATTTGTTGAATATTTACATTTATCATAAAATTATTATTAACGTTTTTTTAATGTAAATTTACATTTTTATCTTTTTACATATTTATTTACATTTTTTACAATGTTTACTTGTTAATGATATTTAGAGTGTAATAACGGTTACTATGGTGATAAATGCGCAAATCAATGCAATACTCATTGTAAAGAGGGGAACAATATATGTAGACATACAGATGGAGTATGTTTGAATGGTTGCCAGGCCGGGTGGAATGGTGAAACATGTGATTCAAGTAAGTAAACGGAATTAACAAATGTGTATTTTATTTCACTCTCATGATTTATTTTTCCAGTTTTAATAAATCAAATAAACATCATTTCGCGATATCTCAAATTTCCTCATTTTCATATATCAAATCAAAATAATCTATCACACATATGTAATTCCAAATCTAATCAACACCGTTTAAAATGTTCTTTTTTTTGTTTGTTTTTCTTTTGTTTTTTTATCGTTTTTTTGTTTTTTTTTGGGGGGGGGATGTTGCGTGCGAGCGTGTGTGTGCACGTGTGCGTGTGTGCGCGTGCGTTGGTGCGTGCGTAAGTGCGTGTATGCGTGTGCGTGTGTGCGTTTTCTTTGTTTTGATTTTTTTCATTGATTTTCTGTTATAATTTGTTTTCCACCAAAGTTGAAATCAAAATAGACTATTCATTTTTCAAGAAATAAAATCTACTTCCTATCTTCATTTCATCGTCTTTTTATGACAAATCATCAGTTTTGCATATGCAAGCAGAAATACGGAAAGTCAAGCACAATTATGACAGAACAATTTCATTTTTTTATCATTTTTCTTAGATGCACTTGCATATTTTATTCTTGAATAATGTTCAGTCTGATGAGTAAACTTAAAAAAATGTTATTTGAGTAGTAAACTGCTTCTGTGGATTCAAACAACTTTATTCTTTACATAACGAAATATAATACTTTCTTTCATTATGTCATTAATAGAATGTTTGCCTGGGAAGTTTGGTATTGGATGTAAGGAGAATTGTCCTTCAAATTGTAAACATGATGCCTGTGGGTATGTTAATGGCAATTGTGATAAAGGGTGCAACCCAGGTTTTCAAGGAAAGACCTGTAACGAAAGTAATTATGTTGCCGTTATATTTTAGTATGGTCCTTCGGGATCATTGATTACAGTGTTTTAAGTGGAGGAATGAACGTTGCTTAAGCGTGTGGTATATGACGTGAGATATGTTGCATTTTTAACACATAGGCCTTTAAGTAAATGCAATTTTCTCATTGTAGGTTTTCTTTATTATTCAAGTGATTCCGTTAAAAGTATTCTTAACATCTAATGTTTGATAACGATAATAAAGTTTTGATGTCAATACAGTTGTGAATCTAAAATTGAAATTATTTTCAGACGTATTTTGAAGCATAAATATGCAATACAATTGAATGTCGTATCTGGAGATTTCGATTGAAGAACATAACTCTTGCTTATAATGTAACATGCTTATGTATTGAATCTTCTGTAGAACTCTAGGTTTCTTTAAATAAAATTTTTCATCAATTTTAAACAAATTGCCTGTGAAAAAAATCTATTATTGTTATATTTAATTGATTTCAATTATTTCAATTTCTTTGTTTGCATACTTTTGTTATGATTTTGTATTTTAAAATAATATTTAGACTGTACTAGCGGTACCTTTGGCGATGACTGCGGCAAGAAATGCAGTGAATACTGTGTAGGTGGAGATAAAATGTGCAGACCTACAGATGGGCATTGTCTAAATGGTTGCCAATCGGGGTGGAATGGGACAACCTGTTTCTCAGGTTGCAAAATTTAACTATTTAATCCATCACCTTATACATTTTCTTTTCAATAGCTTGTCGTCCCCCGCTCAAAGAAAAAAGGGGGATATAGAAATAGGCTCCGTACGTCCGTCCGTCCGTCTGTCCTTCCGTCTGTCCGTCCGTCCATCCGTCCGTCACACTTTGTGTCCGGTCCATAACTTTGTCATTTATCAAAGGAATCTGAAATAACTTGGCACAAATGTTTGTTCTAATAAAACGATGTGTCATGCGCAACCACCAGACCCGTACCTCCAGGGTCAAGGTCGCACTTGCTCACTTAAGGTCAACATTGTCTATTTGAGGGTATATGTCGTGTCCGGTGCATAACTTTCTTATCTTTTAAGGGATTTTGTAAATACTTGCCACAATTGTTAACAATAATGAGATGATGTGGCATGCGCAAAACCTGTCACTTACCTACAAGGTCAATGTCACATTGGAGGTCAAAGATCAACATAGTCTGTTAAAGAGTATATTTTGTGTCCGGTCCATAACTTTTTCATAGATCAAAGGATTTTGTAAATAATTGCCACAAATAGTCACTATAATAAGACGATGTGTCATACGCATCACCTGCATCCCTACCTCCAAGTTCAAGGTCACCCTTAGAGGTCAAAAATTAACATAGTCTGTTTTAGGGTATACTTTATGTCTGATGTAGAACTTCTTCGGGTTTTGATACAATTTGGCACAAATTGTCACAATAATAAGAGGATATGTCAAGTACAACACCTGCACCCTTCCTCCAAGGTCAAGGTCACACTTAGAGGTCAAAGGTTAACAGAGTCTGTTATAGGGTATATTTTGTGTCCGATCTATAACTTCTTCATAGTTCAAGGGATTTAAAAAAAATAATTGGCAAAAATAGTTACAACGATAAGATGATATGGCATGCACAACACCTGAACCCCTACCTCCAAGGTCAAGGTCACACTTAGAGATCAAAGCTTAACATGATAGATTTTTAAATTCTGTGATTCATTTTATTTCTTTAAAGAATTATTATTGCATTTGCAGATCTAGCATTGATCATAATTTTGGACTAAAAGTCCTGAGAGCCATACCTCAATCTTTTGAAATAGCACAATTTATGCTTCATATAAAATTTCCCCGAGGCGGGAGACTTTGGTGACTTCTTGTTAAGATAAAGGCTTGTCTTGATAAGGGGAGATTTCTCGGTATTCTGTATGTTTTCTAATAAAAATCGTTACTACCACAAATATCCGGATCGGTTTTCAGCATTCAACACATTATACTGTTGTGGTCGTAACTTCAGGGATATGTATATACTATAAATTCATATGCAGATTCTTAATGAAAACATAATTCCGTCCGTTTGTTATGATTTTCTTAACGCATTTTACAAAAGTTTTTTAATGAAAGGAAAATTACATAATGGTGCTATACTGGTAAAATTGTTTCATTATTGTTGACTTCGTAAAATAGAAAAAAAAGAATCCCTAAAGAAAGTCCAACGCAACAAAATGAATTGAAAATGTTGCAGGCTCGGTTTGATTGTGCCTGTTCATATACGGTACTGGAAAGTGCAAGTTACCGTCCACGTAAAGTTGTAAAGTTGCATTCCTACTCGCCCTGCGTGCTCTGCTCAATACAACTTTAAACAATATACTCGGGTGATATAGGCTCATCAGAATATTACATCCATGGAGCACATTTTAATTGTTAATTGTTAGTGATTATGCTTCTAAAGAATAACATTTTACTTGCACAATATAGTGCTGTTATCAAAAGGTTCAAGAAGGCTATTTTTATTGTCATGTATATAGGCTTTATTCTTATTGTGTTAAGTATCTGTTTCCTGAATAACTCAGTAGGTAGAGCGCAGCACAGTCGAGGTCGCGGGTTCAATACCTACTCATGCCACTATCATTTTTAATAATATTATTTCTTTGATGTTTACATAAATTATCATGTTCATTTATCTTCTTTCAAGAAAGTTCTGTTCATGTTCATTCTGGAATATTTTTTCTCTAAGTAGTTTTGTATTCTAGATTGTTCATTGATAGTATATATTATATGATGAATGTTTGTACTTCGAGGTATGTGTGCTAATTTGTAATATTATGTGAAGTTGATATACTGATTGTGTGCTATTTTACTTATGATATCGTGACATAGGAATATATTAGTTTGCATTCTGTTATGGCCCAGTTGTTCAAAACTTTTGTTAACTTTAACAACAAATTAACTAAATAGTTGTTAAATTTTAATATTTTCGTTAGCTAACGAAATGCCAAAAATTGAGTTGTTCAGAGCTGTGTTAATTTTTTTGTTAGTTAACAAGGCGTTAAAGTGCTTAACATTTTGTTAACTAATTAACAAGAAAAATTAATCCCACAATGCAGTATGTTTCTTTCCTCCACAAAAAACAAAATGGCCGATAACTGTCCACTTCAATAAGAAATACTTAGAAAATCAGCTGATGTACATTGTCTGCAGCTTACAGCTGAGTCATAGACTAATAAAAAATGAAAACTCATGTAATATGATAAGTTTTTTTTTGGCTGTTTGGTCATGAACATACTGTAACCAGAACCCCAGTATGTCAGATCTACATGAAACTATGAACTGACTTGACTACTACTACTTGACTGACTTGAGAGTGATTTATTTCATTGTGTACAGTTTATACATAGGAAAACATATTTAAAGTTATTTTACCTTCATATTCTTTGTGTAATGCCAGTATATATCCTGGTTACTTTGTGATCTCTGTGCATATTACATGTAGAGCAGACTCCACCAGACTTGATCCTAATTTGATTCTAATTCCAAGTATCTTGTGAAGCATTTGACAATGTACCATACATTAAATATGCATTCTGGTCTGATAAATATTAACCAGCCAGCCTGCATATAAAACAAACAGTGCTTGCCATTCATCTTTTTAAAATGTTCCCGCGTTTACACTACTATACAACCTTTTCCCACATGTATATTTTCCTCGTTTTTGCATCTTTATCAGTGTTTATTCCATAATGTTTGTTAAATCCATTTGTGAAATATCAAAACTGGGTGTTAGGAAACATGTTAGCCAAGTCTGAATGATCAATTCCATTTTTAAATACTTTTTAACACTTATAATTGTAGCTGTTGACAGTAAACAACTTACACTAGAAGCCATTTTGATTTTTAGCAGTTGCATTGTGGTAAATGATGAGTCAATTACGGGTCAGACTACCCTATTGTTTTTACTTCCATATGCTTATGTTATAAGCATGTGTGGAGGTCACTGTCAAAGGCTAGGCTTATAATTTTATCATCGATTTTACTAAATAATGGTCCTTTGTTAAAAGATTGTGAACTTTTTTTGTCTTAAGGATAATACATGAAGTTTACTAATTAAGGTCCACAATCATTGCATGGATTTTGACTTATTTATGAACATTTTCAACTTACAAAAATGTATGGTTAAAATTGTGCATGCATCATCAATATTCAAAATTGCTGAGTGTATTAAATGAAACAAAACTTCATTCATGTCTTGAAATTAAAATTCCTTACAAAGACCCATAACCTTGACATGGATTTTAACTGAAAAATGCCCATTTTAACAGAATTAAATAAAAGCTTGTTCACAAAATTACAAAAGCTCATGAGTGATGATATATCTTGTCTTAAATCAAAAGACACCTTCAACTTAACATTTTCTTATCTTATTAATAAAGTCATTTTCTTATCTTATTAATGAAGTTATTAATTGATATTGTATTAACAACCAATTTGTATATTTGAGTCTGACTGGTTTGTGCATGCAAATATCAATAGGCTATCTTATTTCCTCATTTCAATAGATATATGTCTTAAAATGTCTGAAGAAGAAAATGTTAAGTGTTTTTGTATATTTATCAAACAATTATGATATGAAGTATATTTAACAAACAGTATAAATTGCAGTATACTATAATGCACATCTAGGATAAAGTGAAAGCAAGAATAACATCATCAGCATTAGGTTCAAAATACACACATTTACTCTCAAAATTTCAGCAATATGTAAGCCAGTTTATACAATTTTAATTTAATTATCTATATAATTATCTATATAATGCCTAGTGCTCAATTTTACCACACACAAGTATTGAGATCATAACTGTTAAGTTCCTAAAGATGTTCTTATTGTTTGACAGGTTTGCATGGTTATTTTACAATTATGTAGATGAAACTTTTAAAAACTTAATTTGGACATCATTTACATGTATTTATATGATAGAGATTTTGACCCAAACCAGCACTATAGTTTTAACATTTTATAAGAATCACTATTGACTTGCATAAATTAGAAAATGTGTTTTGTTTTCTCTTCCCACCTACAATACAAAGTGAATTTGCCTCTTTTCCAAAATATTATTCTCAAAATAAGATCTCAAAATTATCAAATACTCCATTGTTTACACATAATGCATGATGACCTGTTACTGTCATTGAATAATGTACAATTAAAGTCCAATGTCTTTAAATTTGAAATATAAAACTTGCTTTTAATGCACTCATATAAAAAAAGAAAATTAGAAGAAGTTTCCTACATAAATGCCAAACCCTATTTTATTTGAGTTGCAAAGGGGAGACATATTTTTATTCATTTTGGCCTTATTGAAAATAATGAAATGGTGAATCATGGAGCTTTATATTACTTCATATTTGAATCCATGGTTTACATAACATTTATATAGATGACTTAATCAACTCTCACATTTGGTAAAAAATGAAAATAATGATTAAAGTTGATGAGACAGACTATTGTAAAAATAATAGGAAGTTAAACACTTTTCAACATTACTAATATGATCAGTTGTTGTTCTATAGAATTTAGAAAGGGCAACTGCATGGTATTCAGTACTCAAGAGTTGTCCTTCTATGTATAAAATATTAATGTATGAATCCCAATATGAATTTAGGAAACTATATCATATACTATCTTAATGATATGATAATGTTCTGTCATAAAAATATACCCAAAACAACAGTATAAGATAACAGTATTGTAAACATACTACAATAATCTTTTTAAAGTAACTTAAAATGTGAGCATTGTCTGAGTGTAAATCCAGTTAGTTATAATTATTGAACCAAAATTTGCATTACAAACATATTTTCTGGTTTCCAGATGATCATGGCAGTTTATAAATATATACATAACTACAAATTATCACACTGTAATACCACATTTGACAATTTATTATTTGGCACAAAACTGACATCAGACAAAAAACATACAAATAAACATATGAGACAATGGTCCTGTGAACGTTGCTTTTGCCTTGTTGATCTTTATTCTTGTTATTGAATGATTTTAATAAGATATTTAAAGTGAAGATTTAAATTGACAAAACAAACAAAAAACTGGCAATAGTTAATCAACCAAGTAGAGGGGTTTTTGAACAAAGCAGTATTGAACCAGTGGTGTCAGATTTTGGTATAAATCAATCCTATATATGGTTTTACACTAGCAGTACAATATTATGTCAGCTTGTTACTCTAATGATCCAAAATAAGGTAGAATGAGGTAACTACATTTGTTAAGTGAAGTTCAAGAAAGTCAATTAAATCACAGACAGGAATAAATTTATGTTTGTTTATGCTGAATTTAAAAGATGATCTTAATACTGATTATATTACTTTAAAACTTGTTTATCAGTATGATAATTGAACAGATTCAGACATTTTATGAAAATTAATTTGTTTGTATACCACATTGAGGCTATTGATAGTAAATGGGACTTTCTTAAATTCCTGTGTAAATTGTTTAGAATCTTTTTATAATTAAGAATGATGTCCCAATGGCGTTAAAATGTTAAAAGCGACTGTTTTGGAGTTGACAGGGGTAAAATAAGGGAACAAGCAACTTTCTGTGCCACTAACAATAAAATTAATTCACCTATGGAGGTGAATTAATTTTCTTGTTAAATCTTTGTTAAAGCCGATGTTTTAACAAAAAGATAACGCTATTTTTTTCTGAACAACTGATTTTTTTAACAAAGATATTTAACAAAAAAATTAACAACACTTTGTTAATTTAACAGAACTTTAACGTTAACAATGTTTGAACAACAGAATTGCTTAACAACAAAATTTAACACAGAATTTAACAATTTGTTGTTAATTTAACTATGACGTCATTGTTAAATATTTAACAAAAGTTTTGAACAACTGGGCCATTGTATTTATTCTGATGTGGACATTGGACATTGATTAAATCTGAGTTGTGGACAATTGAATTTCGAACTGTGAGTTAAACTTTAGGACATTTGTTAAATTCTGGGTTTTGGATAATAGTGTGTTAAACTTTATTCTTTATTTTCATAATTTTTTATGTTATTGTAAATTACTGTTTTTCTTAAATTAAAATTGTAAAATTTGTTGTTGCCTTATCTTCTCTGTTGCGTTAAGCTCGTAACATTATATTGTATTGTTATTGTTCTTTACTTTAACATTTTATACAGTTTATTAACACTTTGTTTCGTATACAATTTTTACCATTAAGCACTTATTATATGTCTTAGCTTGTGACATTGGGTTTCATGGTAACAACTGCGCGTTGGTTTGTGGGAACTGCCAGCTTGGAAACAGTTGCGACCACGTGACTGGCATTTGTTACGGAGGCTGCAAACCGGGTTACAGTGGTGACACCTGTTTACTAGGTATTCTTTTTTATTTTGGAAGCAAATTTGTGTTTGATAGCCAGGCTCATACATTAATCCCGGGTTCTCTCCATGTAGACTTTATCTTGATGGTATCAGCAGTTTATTTTTATTATCAGTTGCTTACTTTGTATACTATAAAAATATTCACAAATTAGAACTTTGCAATTTATATGGAACTTTTTTACATGTGAAGTTTGTTTAAATAATGTTTATTAATAACTTTCACAAAATTAATTGAACAGTTATTATGTATGCTAGAGACACAAATATTTTTTTATACAATGACCATGATGAATGCATATACTCGCTTTATTTTGTTTAAGTTAAAAGTCCAGACTGCGTTTTATTTATCATGAAATATAAGGATAAACTAAAACCGTTTTTTTATATTTATATGTTTTAAAATGAAATGTTTTACAGAGGAAATCAAACATCTATCAAAATTTACTAAAATGAAGAATTTTTATTTAATTAAAATTTAATAACAGTTATTGTATGAAGATTTTGGTGAATATCAAAATATATGGACCTACTTAATGTGATATTCACCTCACCTCCTGTATCGGTTAGTTTCATATATCCAGATCCATAGACTTGGATATTCACGTCATCGTCATCAAATAAATGTACAAAAATGCACTAATTTGTTTGATAGCGAGCAAAAAAAATGCAAAACGTGTTAAAATTAATAATCGTGAAGTTTATATGATTTTTATGCACAGCTGCCAAAAATGCATGATGTTTTTTCACTTTTTTCAAATGAGGTTATTATGGTGTATCATAAATTGTCATAAAAATGTGTGATATATTATACAGCTGCTGTTTGCAATATATACCTCAATTTCCAACTTGGGTTTATAAGCTTACACCTTTTATACTGAGTCATATCAACAGTCAGAATAGTTTCAAATATAACTTATGCATAGTGTAATAACTTTTCCATTTTCCTTCTTGTACAGCATATGTTTACATTGATTAAAATGAGTAGGAAAAAATATCGTTGTATTCATATGCACAAGTGGAATTAACAACTTAATTGTCCAAATATCAGTTATGTATGTCAGAAACCTTCGCCAAAATCTATTGTGTAAATATGGGATTTTTCTTAGGGAACAGTTTTAAGGACATATTGATAATTGAACAGAATAAAAACATATTAAAGTTATTCTTCTTTTTATCTTATGTGTATAATCTATCAGTTTCTACTCAATAAACTAAATATACAGAGATAAGCTATCTAACTAAAGGTGAATATAATAATATTCAGAGATTTATACAATATTGCACTTAAATGTCTATGATTGTTAAAATTGTTATTAATCTATTTTTAAAAGATAATTTTTTTCATGTTTTTTTTCTTCTTCATAAACACATTTCAGTAAAAATAAGTTTCTCTGTCAAGTTGTAACTTATTGCAACTACTTAATAAAGGGCTAGGGACATTGGGTAGATCTCTCATTTTGCCATTTCTTGAGTTTCGTATGTAATACTTTTAGTTCCTTTTATTTGACTTTTTTCTGGATGGTTGGTTCCATTTCCGGTATTCCAAACCTAAAACCTTTAACAATTATTCTAAGGATAGGTTGCTTTTCATATTTGTCTGTTTACATATTATTTGTGGGTGATATTCAGACTTCAAAACCTATAACCACTTTTAAAATTCTAATTTCAAAAGCCGGTGCTAAGAAGTATGGACAATAGCTTGCATTTTGTTCTACATGATATAACTGAACATTATTTTTCTTTTTTAAACTAAAAACTCCAGCGTTTTGATTAAAAAAAATTATGACCCAATTGTTTTAAAGCAACCGCATGCTTGGTGTTCTACCGTTTTACAGTTGGACGCTTTGCTTTTTCTTTTGATAACATCTGACAGACCAAGTGAGAGACTCTATGATGAGCAGTTCTTAAAGCCCTTTGGAACTGAATTGTTTTAATGTTCGTCTTCTGTCTTGCTTCGTCGGCCCTTGTAGCTGTTTTTCTGGTTGCTCTGCTTTCCTTTAAGAAGTACTTTCTTTATGTTTATACGGCTCTAGCTTTTTATACATATTTACACAATCTTGAATCTGTTTTATTTATTTCGTCTATTGTAACTATGGCGTTGGAAGAAAATTTCACTTGGTGGGGATTCGTTTGTTTTATTTACACTGTCTTGTCATATAGGAACACATTGGGGCTAAAAGCGAGGTTTTGCGCTCCTCAAACGGGTTTAAATTTCCCAGCGGTGTAGCTACCACTGACCGTTCCAATGCGATACCCCTCTGTGTTCCTTCCCGTGTTTCACATGTGTGTATTATTACATGTTTTAAATGTTTGCATGTTCTGTGATGTCCACCTTTTTAAATTATCGTTAAAGGTAAGTATTTTCTTTCGACCAGCCCGTCCTCTTTTTTCACCCAGATTTCCCCTTCCACTCCTTATTCCTTTAATGCACATTTGGCTCCTTTGTGTTTAATTGTTTCACTTATTGCGTTTCCCTCCCCTCCTTTCGCCGTCCTTGTTTTCCCTCTTAATTCTGGTTTTGTGCCTTCTGTGTGCCCTGCTGTTGTGTCTTGGATGTGTGTGTCGAGGACTGCGTCCTTTGAATGTTGCCTTTGCCTTGTTGATCTTCATTTTCATTTGTTTAGCAAGGTTACCTAACTTAAAAGAATTCTAATTTCTCATGTAAGAAGAAGTACTGTCTTTATAATAACAGCAGGTCACAAGTACCTTATGGCAGCTGTTTCCCCGTACTTCACTTCAGTGTTAATAAATTGTTTTAGTCTTTCGGGATCATTGATGCCAGCACTATTAAGTGTAGATAATTGAGTACCACTCCAGTCGGTGCTAGGGGTCGTGAGAGATCTTGCACCTATTCATTATTCTTCATGCACAGACTCAATCAAACGAAGTGTGCAAATTTCATGTAAATTTGTTGTGATTAATGCTTCCGAGGGATCACTTCGTTCATATTTTTAAATGTCAATGTAACACTGTTTTACATGTCACAAGTTATGGATTTACTTATTCTCTCAAACAAAGCAAACAGAAGGAAAAAGGTACAAGTAAATTTTATATCATATAAAGATATATAACTCTCGTTTTTCACTATTTTTCTGTTTTCTTATAAATGTATGTTTTTTTTTTTCAAATTTGTGTTTATTACAATCAATCATTTCAAATTAAACACATAAGTCATTTAATCAAATTTGAAAAAAAGAAACAATATTGAATCGTGTATGCATGTTAAAATAAATTATTTAAAATGGCAGATTGACTATATATGGACACAAACCCCCAAAAAGTTATTTCTTAGAAGATTTGGTTACTTTTAACAATTTAACCATGTGCGAAATACAGATTTTTTGTAAGTGTGTTTTCATTTCAAAAAACAGTAACTACCTGATAATGGTTATGTTTCACAAACTACAATCTACAATTTTTAAAATGTATTGATCGCGGAAAAAGTAAACATTATTCATGTTATGGCTATTGTAACCTAAGGCTCAACAGTAATAAGTTTAATAAGAAATCAGTATAAAAATGTCATTTAATATAGACATAAATCACATAAAAAATGTCGACTTATATTCTTGTAAATCAAATCAAACTATCATATTGGAACACTCAAGAAATGTGCGCAATCGTTATCCACCAGGAAACATTATACTTGTTAAACCAACTGAAAACTAAAACAATAATAATTTTATATTCATACGTAATGTAGCGTCCATACTATTGTAAGTAAATTTCCGATAAAAGTATGTCAAATTACATATAAAAGAATTATTCATTTTACCCTAATTAATTGTAAAACAAAATCAATGATAATATTGCTTGAGGTAGAGATAAAGATATAGTACTTACACTGCAATAAAGTATTAAAACTATCATTTGATTCAATAATTGAAATAATAATTATTATATAAAACATTACAGTTTCAGACAAGATTTTAAGTGACACAAAACCAGATACAGGATGTCATGAAACACCAAAGCTTAAAATAGTTTTGATATGTGTCGGAATCCTTTGTGTCATTCTTGTTGTGTACGCTACAGTAATAACGATCTTGTTTAAACGTCAGAGGACGCATAACGGTGAGTTGTTTTTATTAATTTATTCATTCATTAAAATAGATTCTAATCACTGACAGAAAATTTATTTAGATAAACTTATGTATAAACATTGAAAAAAAATCCTGTAAAGAATAAAAAACAACAAATACTTCTTATTGGTTGTGAAGACCAATACATGTACATCAATGAACTTCGAGAAATTAACACTATAGTCGAATTAACGACGACATGTCTGAATAGATATGAAGGGGAGCGGTGGCCTAGTGGTCAATTAGGTGTCTGCCTCTCAACCCATAGATCATGGGTTCAAGCCCTACTCGGGTCACGACCACGTTTCTTATATGATACCAGTTGGTTGGTTGGTCCCAGGAAGCGAACTCGAAAGTGATTAATATAAGTTGCAAGATCAAGCTGAAATAAATATGTTTAAACCAATGATATGAACTCATTTTGGTATTTCAGAATATCTATTTTTCTATTTTATTGATTACATGTTAAAGAAGAAGATTGGAATGATAGAAGTTGCTGTGGATGGTAAATCTATTGTTCCTTATCACATATGATATGTTAATATGTTATTAAAAGATATTTATAGCTTAATTCTGATACCCAGTTAGAGTTTTCCGGGTATTGATGGATACCGAAAATAACTTTTGTCGCGAAAATAGGATCGCGGCTACGAAAATAATATTTTTTTTGAAATGGTGCATTTATTTCTTTTAATAATTTTCTTACTTATATATGTATGCATTCTATAAATGTTTTTACAGCGATAGTAAATTAAATAACCAAAATAATATCTTAGAAAGTGAATTTTAAGCCTAAAATACATCGTTCAAAAATAGCTCATATCGCCGTGTAAAGCGACACTAAGAAAATCGGGTCTACGAACATAAGATTTATTGTTGATACAATTATTTTTGTGTTATTAAATGATTTATATGAGTGAAATGCTAAAGAATAAGATGTTTTTTAAAGAAATATTAGACTTGAAATTGTGCTATACAGAAAAAACGCATGCGAAAATAACCTTAAGAAGATGGCTACTACGAAAATAAGATTTAAATGGTTCAAAACTAATATTTTTATTTAAATGTCATTATTTTATTTTTGAATGATCCTGAAAAAAGATGGTAAGAATTAAACATTTTCTTATAAGACAAGAAATGTTTGTGGTCAAAAGGTATCAAAATTTTTTAAAAAAAAGAACTAGTGCGAAAATAAAAGCTATATAAGAATATGTACGAAAATAAAATCTATACAGTACTATACGAAAAAACGACTTAAAAGGAAGTACTTTTCACCACAAACATTTCTTGTTTTATAAGAAAACATTTAATTCTTATAATCTTATTTGCAAAATCATCAAACAAAATATTTAAATATACGTTATGAACAATGTTAATGTTTTCTCAGGTTATTTTCGCATGCGTTCTTTCTATAATAGTTGGGATATATACCTTATTTACCGAACAAACGTCTGCTAATTTCATCTTCTTATACGACAAGAAATGTCAAAACATTTTATTCTTTATATTTCATGCTTGCAAATCCTTAAATAACAACAAACATTTTCGTAGACGCAATCTTATTTTCGCTTAACTGTACACAGCGAATTTAGCTATTAATGAACAATGTATTTTTGGATCAAACTTTCCTTTTTTAGATATATTTTTGGCTCTGCAAATTTTTTTCGCTGTAAAATCACTAAAAGAATGCATGAATATAAAATTTACAGAATTATCTAAAAAGATAAATGCACAATATCAAAAATAAATTTTATTTTGGTAGCCGCGATCTTATTTTCGCAAAAATAGGTTATTTTCGGTATCCATCTATACCGGATTTTTCCTTGGTATTAACATCAAACAAGATCTTAGGTAAATAAGTGGTCTTATGTATCATACGTATTAAATAATACGAAAGATCTTCAATATGCATTATAATATTAAATTATCCAATATTGTCAACAGGGTAAAATACAACGAAATGCAAGATTATGCAGCTTTATCAATGAAAAGAACTTTGAAATGATTTTTGTTCTGCAAGTTGTTCATTTTGAAAATTATGTATCTAAAATGCCTTTTAAAAAATACTTCCTTCTGTAACTCTACAAGAGTTTTTTCCCCTTACACCCATGTCGCGATATTTTTTGCTTAATTCCATTGATTAATAAAAACATTAATCTTGCATTAACAATCCATTAAATCACTACTTAATCTAGCAGTTTATTTTCATGAGAGTTTAATGGTCCGTGAGAAAAGTTGTAATTCTATTTTTAGGAGCTATGCAAATAAAACGAATAAAAAAGAAACAGTAACAACTGAAGCAGCACCAGAAGCAGCGATTGAGCTTGCGAGAGTTAACATAAATGCCATTGACTATGAATCTCATCAATATACAGATCTTACTCCTGATACAGGAGATGTCGAAGCAGCATATGAAACAATTCAACTTGAATGACCATGACTAGAAAAAGTGTTACATAACCTGTTTTTACAAGGTGTTTACTGTACTCTGAAATCCAATTAATAATTTGATATGACAATGATACATCTTTTATTGGGAATTTGTCCTTTAAACTATTATATGCGTTGCGTTAAAAATTATGTTATAACAGCCACCAGGATTGTTTAACACTCCACTACCATTTACAACTGTCTTAGGAAGTGACGTATCACGGAATGTAAAGTAATCTTGTAGGGCAATCAAAAATATAAGAAACTTCAGGCTTAGATTTAGCAGATTAAAACTGTGTTGTAGAAACAATCAGCTTTGGTGTGTACTTTCCTTATGACCTCAATCAATGATGACGTTTTATAATCATAAGGGTTAAACAAACTACCTTTTTATGCACAGGTATAATTACACATTGACACCATTTTTCTGGGAATGCTCTGTAACTAACTTCGTTTATTTCACCCTTAGATATTTAGCTATTAAAGAGAAAGTTCTAATTGTCATCCTAATAATTCATTCATCTGAATTAACAAACTTCACAAATTGTAGCCTGTAAATTTTCACCAATACACCCATCAATATCAGCTACAGAAAACAACTGTCTATGGTGATTGAACTTGTCTACTATATGGTGAATGTCTGTAAAATGTTTTTTTTAAAATATTCATTTTCTTCCAACATTCTTTGGAGTTATAAATGCTTTAATCAATATCAGCTATTAACTGTTTGTATATACATATATTTTTGTCTACATATATTTTATATGAATGCTTATTGTCATGATCAATGTTTAAATAATGCAAACTTGGACATTATCTGATTTCCGCAGTAAAATAGAAGTAGAGAAATACAGAATCCCTAAAGAAAGCCCAACACGACAAAATTGAAAATGTCGCAGGCTCGGTTTGATTGAGCATGTTCATGGACGGTACTGGAATGTGCAAGTTGCCGTCCGCGCCCTCTAGCACCGGCTTAAGCAGAATTCAACATTTAACACGAAAATGGTGAAATTTTGAATTTAGAAACATTCGCAGATGTGTTCATACGGCGGTTATCATGAAACCTTCAATGTGACATTAACACTTCACGGGCAGTTATATAAATACATTCAACACCAAACAATGCCCTCTTTTGTAGTCTATGGCTTTTGTGAAGTTTACGATACAACAGAGATTCACTACAAAAACTGTTTACCTTCTCAAATTCATCAATTAGTATATAACAATCATTACAATGTTCATACAGTGAGTCTAACCTGTCAAACAGATCTGGCATCTTAGTATCACCGAAGAAGATAATGAAAAAAATGTTTTATTGTGTACATTTTCAAACTTTTTATCAAATGTTATATTAGAATGAATTAGCAAATTTAAAGGGAAATGAGTACTTTCAATCACATCTTAAACAAACTTTAAATTCTAAAGTTAAATCAAAGATATTTGGGATGCAAAACAAAAGAATACAGCACTACATCAATTTTGGTTAGCAAATATAAAGTTTCCATAAGATCCATAAGTTACGCTTTTCATGGAATGGCACTACTGTCACATTGAATGTTCCATGATTGATAGCCGTCGTATGAACACATCTGCTGATGTTTTGCAAATAAAAATTTCACAATTTTCGTGTTTAAATGTATTCTGCTAAAACCGGTGTAAGGGGGCGTGGACAATACATTTTGTATTTCTTTACATAAAAACAAATTATACTTTGCATTTACCGCACATTTGATGCAAGTAACGTACCAAATCACACTGAAAAGACATTTTCTTTTAAATCACGGCATGAATTCCTGTAATAGTTCTATATATTTTGGGTTTGAAGCGTAAATATATCTATTTAAAACGGGGAAGTTGCAATAACAGATATTGTCGATATTGTATTATCAAAACAAGTCAAAGTCATACAGTTTAGATGTTCTTTATCGTTTCCAAAGTTCACTGTGACAAATATTGTTAAATCTTAACGTTCTAACCTGACCCAGAAAACCATTATTTAATACTTTATAATGAAAAATAGATGAAAATTTTGCCTATGTCTCCTTTTTAGCAACATAGATTTATAAGTCACTCAGCATGAAGCAGTATATCAGTCAAACAAATAGCAGTTTTGTCATTCAAATAAATATCAGTCACATACATGGCATTTTTTAAGTTTCAAATGCCACAGTATCTTCCTGGCACAGGTAGCAGTATGTCTGCACATAGGTAGCAGCATGTTTATTACATAGTAGCAAGTAATTGCCCAAAGAATTTTGCCTAATACAAGGTGACCATTAATATTATTGAATTATGCAATATTTAATTAGAAATGCTCTTGATTCCTTGATTGTGTTTTTGGTGGTGTTATTATTATTTTTTTTTTGTGTGTGTGTGTTTGTTTTTGTTGTTTTTTTGTTATAACACCTAACTCATCTTACACAAATGCTGTTTTAAAAGCAGTCATGCTGTTGTCCGTTGAGCTCTCCCTTAAATCAGAGCTGTCGGTAACGTTCGTAAATATCTACGCATCTTAAATGCAGAAATATGACGATTTTGGTCATGTAAGATCATTGAAGTTCAATTAAAAGTGACATAATGAGACATTTGTTAAGAGGGTTTGGTGAAAATAATATGAATAAATGAATGGAAAACGTAATCAGCCAGGAATAAATAATCATACCAAGTTTCACCTAAAACGGCACAGCACGTATGCATAACAAATACTCCCAATTTAATTGGTGGATCGGAGTTTTTATATAAATAAATATAGGGAAGTAACTGTATATTCACATAGGCTACAATGAACTTAAGTGTATCAGCTGCATTTTGGAAGATATTTACAAACAACATTAACTTAGCAATCATTTTAAAACGTCTTTGTAATAATTCACCTAGTAACAGAATAAAAAAAAACTGTAGAAATGTTCTTTCCAATATTTCTACTTGAATAATGTTGAATCACGCTTAGGTTATGTTATATGCTTTTATAACTTTATCTTTAAACGTCATATTTGTGGCATGAAGGCTTCTTAACCTTTGATCCATTTTGTTTAGTTCTGCCCATTATTATCCCGCCACTTTTCATGGAATGACACGAAAGTGCGACATTGAAGATTCCATGACTACCGCCGGATCTGCGGATGTTTCTGAATTCATGAATTCAAAATTGTACTATTTTCAGGTTAAAATGTAGAATTCTGCTTATGCCAAAGCCCTTGGGCGTGGACGGTCACTAGAATGTAAAAGTACCTCCATCAATAGGCTCAATCAAACCGAGCCTTCAACATTTTTTAGTTTTGTCGTTTTGGGCAGTTTTTAGAAACTCCGTTTTCTCTAATTTAACGGATACTAAAATAATGCAAAACACCTATGTATAAATGTTTCATTATAAAAAGTTTTTTTTTAAAATTTTAAGTGATAATGCAACTTTTTTATACTAAATTGTATGTCTTTTCAATAAACAAAAAGGTTAAAAACTATTCAAATTTATATCACTTGTTTGTTTCAAGGTAATTTGCAACACTTTCAATTTTGACGCTTTTGGGATTATCTTGTTTAAAAAACAAAAATACTAACTTTAAATCATAAACTGAATAACATCTTATGAACGTGGGTGTCTGTTACATGAAGCAAAGAACATTTCATTTCCATTAGAAATGATCAAATTTATTCTAAAAATATTTAATTTAAAATATTTTAAGCATGAACTCATTCAGCTTTGTTTTACAGGTTATGTCGGGTATGAAGTACCCTTGTAAAAACAGCTGGGTTTGCAAATGACAACCAAAGAACAACGTTTCCCTTTTAAAGTATGGACTTACTTTGTGCCTCTTTGCGGTAACCGTTTTAATTTGAAAATAATGCATTTAATTGTATTGGCATTTTATGCAATTTAACAAAGACATAAAGTGGGAAGAAAGATCAACAATGCAAAACGACGTTTACAGAAAGCAGAACAAGACGCACCTAACCATACTAAAGGAGAGAGTTCAGAAAAAGCTTTTAAAGCTTCTTACTCTATCCATGAAATTATTTGTATATACTTTAAGATAACAAATTAAATACTGTTTAAAAAAAACCCTGCCACAAAATTCTCAATTGTCATGGTGCAGAATACAAACTGAAAACCAGAATCTTTAATAAGACATTTTGACAGCATCGTCAGTATCAGCCATTTTATTAACAGTGCAATACTTGGTACCTTAAATATTTCGAATTTTTAGCTGATCATGTTAATTTGAAGCCTTAAAGAAAGCATAAAACGGTAAAAAAGAAATGCTGTAGGTTCAGTTTGACTTTGATCATGGAAGGTACTGACAAATACACTATACACCAAAATTTGTTTATCTTTCTAAGGCCTTTTCTGAAAGCTAATCAGTGTATCAAACAAGAATGCGCACTATTATAATAGTTAAAATAAATACACGTTATACATACATGGAACTAATAAAATTTATATTGATTATAATAATAATAATTTGTTACAGATATACAATATTAATTTATATGTATTATTGTTTGATTCAAACTTTTAAATGATGAAATTACATATTGATTGAACAATATTATTTTCACATAAATATGCAAAACATATATGTGTAGCAAATACGAACGAATTAATGAAACGATTGACAAAATAAACAACATATTCTAAAAAGGTCATGATTGCCATTTAAACCATGAACAATTGAAATTTAATCTCAATATTCGGATCAGATTTGATCGTAATTCTTTTAAATTGATCCGAAGATTTATCCAAAACACTTATCTTTATCCAAAAAATAAGGATTTTTATCTTCAATTTATATTTGGTAATGATAAAAGTCCAATTAAAAACAACTATTGTTTAAAAAGCTGATAAGCTCAATAAGGAACAAATTAGAAAGCTAATATGTATTAAAATAATAAAATGACATCATAATTTACAATTATGTATTTCTCAAAATAATCACCGATGCCAAGTCATTAAATATACATAATAACAGACTGGACAAGTAACTTGGTAAATAAATGATTATGTTTCACCAGGTGTATTAACATTCGGAAAATAAGATGCATGCATGTTTGTGTAGCTAGTTTTAAAACTGACGAATTGACTTTTCTTTGACTTAAGTCAGTATTTTTCTTTATGTTATTTTATAAGGAGAGAGAGGGGGGAATACAAATAACTCATTTTTTTCATAGCATACACTTTTGATGAAGATTGTCGGGCAATATTTGTCCAATGGCTGCATAAAACATTAAGTATTCCTGATAATCGAAAAAAAAAACATAAAGCATTCGATAACAAAAAATTCAGCTCATTGCTCCGGCAACGAAGTATTGTTAGAAACATATGCATGGTGAACAGAGATGAAAATGAATGCTTTGAAAGCACTGAAAAAGCTGAATTATAATTCTAGAAAGGACAGTACGGTATGCAGCGTTTAAATATTATGATATGAAAATAACACATTTTTAATTAAAACTTTTAAGTAAGATTTTAATTGTTTGGAGTATTTGCCTCATGGCTGTATTTTGAGGAGAAAAAAAACAACGTGCAAGCACTTGCCAGTGCACAAGTCAATCAAACTAAACAAGTGTCCTGTCATACAATAAAATATGAACAATGCAAACAGTTGTCAGTACAAACCACGGACAATATCTAGTAGAAATGCTTGCATATGTGTTATTCTTTATTTTAGATTTTCAATTTTCCTGTTTTTGGACGTTCTTTAGGTATTCCTAATAAATTGCATTATACGAAATTTTGTAGTTTACTACAACTTAAGGGAGATAATTGTCATGTTATAATGGTTTTTTGCTGTCCTAGGTAACTCCCTTTTAAATTCAAGTGCCTCT